ATAAGAATATGCAAGGACACCTAGCTGATGCAAATCAGGGAAAAGCAGATGCATAGTGACAATGTGGGGAGATTCAAATCTGAGTGTCGCTCCACATTTATACCTGCAGCCCTTAGGATGTTCATGTTCCCTATCAGAACTAAACAAGGATGTCTGGACTGCCACCTGTGACCAGTTCATATGGATATCCTCTTGCTCTCAGGTCAACAGGGGATGTTTTACAAGGGCAGGGTCCTCTTCTCTGATGTCATTTCTAAAATGTCTTAATTTACCTTCAGAACCTGAACTTACTGAAGCCATTTCTGAAGATGTTTATGTTTTCTATTATCTTTCATTGTAATAACTTCCATAAGGGAAATTGTATGATTTAGCTAAAGCTTGCCTCCCTCAAGATTCATGGGGTTCCTATAATGTTAGAAATTCTTGGTCTCAGCATATCTTTTGCAGGGTAGATTGACCCCTGCTTCTTGGGAACAAGAAATTGACCTCTTATTAAAAGCTCCATGTACAAAATATTTTTTTCAGACCTATCTAAGAAGCAGGAACAAGTTTGCTTGTTTCAGCTGATGAGCCTCTCCCCCCGGCTATCAAGACACAAGTATAGCCTGGGAGACAACGGTTCAATTCCCGGTCAGGGGACAGGCCCGGGTTGCAGGCTTGATCCCCAGCAGGGGGAGATGCAGGAGGCAGCCGATCAATGACTCTCTCATCATTGATGTTTCTATCTCTCCCTCTCCCTTCCTCTCTCTGAAATCAATAAAGACATAAAAAAAAAAAAAGACATGACTGTATAGTGAGAACTACTCCCAAATCTAGAGACAGCTGTAAACTAACAAAAATCAGCGCACAATGAATTAGCTGTAACCTATCCTGTTCTGAAACTAGAATATGCTTTCAAGTGTGAGCAACTAATGGGTTTCCCGGTTTGTCTAGAAGCCATTTGAAATTATAATTTATCAAATATAAGACATAATCTTGCAAATTTTATGAACGTTAATAAAAATTGCACAAAGAAATTTAAACGAGTTTACAAAATGGAGAATCAGAGAATAACCGGTGTGTTTCTACCCCTGTCCAAGAAAAAAGTTATTGATTCTAACCCTAAAGTAAAAAAGGCCAGTTATACGACCAGTTTGATTGTTCAGGTCTTCAATGAGCATCCTGCTTCCTTTTTTCTAATTCTGATGTATAATTTGTTCACCAGAGTCTATTAGCCAACTAGTGAAGGGGGAAGTGTAGTTCAGATTATACTCACTGTAAAATCACTCACTGGCATTCTACTCTTCAAGTATGACTTTTGAATTTAGTGCAACTCAGCTCACGAAAAAATCATCACCCCTCAACAAACTGGTAAACAATTTTGGAGCCTGCAAAACTGAAACCCAGTCCCTAGACACAGTGACTTCACCTAGTGCCGCCAGCCTGGCATAACAAAGCCAGCTGGCCTCATGGATCTTTGCTACAGAAGAAGAAAGATGCCGGGGCATTCTCAACAGCCACGCACTCAGGAGCCAGCCTTCATTCTGCCTCTCATGCAGTCACACTCATGACAGGGTTTCAGAAGAAGGAATTAGACGTGGGTTTCATTTGGGGGTGTTTTCAGGGCAGATGCCCAGCAGAAGGGTTCTCAAAGGGGACTGAGAGTTCCCATCTCCCCTAGAACCCACAGTTCAATGAACTGACTGCTGCAGAGAAGCCAGGCAGCCAGGCCCTGGAGGAGAGGAGGCCCAGCAATGTGCAGCGAAGCCCGTGTAGAGACACAACTACCCCTATTCACTGCCCTTTGATCGCCAGATTCGCTGCTTCTGCCATTTAACAGGTGATTTCTAATGGAGGCTAAGGAGAGTGATTTTTTGTTTCTGTTTTTAATTTTTCCTGCAGATTCAAGATAGTATCACATTTTAAAATGAATAATTCCTTAATATCATTTAACTACCAGTCCATAGTCAAATTTTCCCAGTTGTTCTAAGATGTCCTTTGCACCTGTTTGTCCGAGCCAGGACCTAGGACATTACGTTGCATTAAGCTGTTGTGTCCCTAAATCTCCTCTAATGTACAATACTGTGTTCCCTTTTTTCATGGCAATGACTTTTTAAGAGGTCAAGCCAATTCTCCCATAAAATAGCTCATCTTCTATATTTGTCTGCTTGATTTTTTGTGGTCTTAGCTTGCCCCTTTATACCCTGTGTTTCGGGTAAATGGCAAATAGATTTAAAGCTTCAATTGGATTCAAGTTCAATGATTCTGACCAAAAGAAAAAAATACAAATATCCTGGGTGATGTTAAAATCTTTATATTGCCCCATATCGCAAGACAGTGTTGTCCAGGCATTAGTTGTGCTAAGGTTGGCACTGGATTAAGATGGTGACCTTCTGACTTCTCTAATGTGCGTTACCTGCTCCCTTCGTGACCTGAAGGAAGGAATCTGTATGGTGGTTTTTAGCACCATATGAATACCCTGCTCCCCATCAACCATCTGTCTTAAGGTTTTATCAGCAATTGATAATCCCTGCCTGAATTCGTAATTTCCCTTTGGAACCTGCTTTTCTCTGTCAGCAGGTCTTATGCTGCACTATTTACTAGTTATGACACGAAGAAGTCATTAGCTTCTTGATTCTTAATTCCCTCACCTGTAAAATGGGCATAAAACTAAAATCAATTCCCACGGCTGTTGGAAGCATTACATGAGATACCCATGTACCGTGCTTGCCAGGTCCCTGGTGCCATGTGTGCACTGCCTACTTGTTGTTATTGTGCTTCTCTGTGTTTTGCTTGTGGGACTGTGTAGAGCATTATCCACTCACTGCCACTTTCAAGTCCCTGAGGCAGAGGACAACACACCTAATGATATTGCTGTGGAGTCCAAGTAGTTAGACTTTTGAAGAATATTGACTTGGACCATTTTTTAAAGGCAAAGTGGAATTTGTTTCGAATAAGCACTGCCCAGATCAGTGTTTCTCCTGAGATGTGTTATAAGAACCAGTGGACCCCGACATGCTCCATGGGAGATGCTGCCCATTCTTGTCCTCTTTGGGGGTTTCATTGTGCATATTATTAAGTTAAAAGTTCTAGAAAGTCTCTCAGGAGAGAAACCTACTTAATTTTGCTCAGTCAACTATTTTCTCATCTGTTTGCCTGTGGACACTACCCACCCCTCCTCCATCTTTTACGAACCAAGTAGCGCATATAAACATTACATTGAGCTGCTTTCGATTTTTCCAAAGGCTTGAATGAAGAGGGAGTCGCACTGATGAGCCCACCCCCAGTGGAGTGTTGGAAGGTGTCTGCCACTGGCCATTGGATTCTGAAAAGCCATGCAAGCTAGAGGGGTTTCAAGAGGTTCGTTTATTTGTTAGGGCAGAGAAGGTGGAAATTGGAGGCTCCATAGTAATTCAACAGGTGAACTCTCCTCCTTAGATTTTCTCCAAATCTCACCAGGACTCCTAGAGGAGATCAGAGTCCACCTGTCCTATGGGTGCCCCACTGCCACTGGGACTTTCCTAGGCTGATGGGATTGAGTCTCTTGGGCTGATGCACAGAGACCAAAGGGCATAGAAGGTGCAATTGTTCAGAGAGAGAGAAGATTTGGAGTCAGAAAAACAGGAGGTCAGTGTCTTAGCTCTACCAGGTATTTGCCTTGATCCCTGGGCAAATCACTTACCCTCTCTGAACTTTAGTTTCTTCGTCTATATGATAGGGACAATTAAAGCACTTTAATGGTTGTGAAACTCTCATTAGATATATAAAAGCATTTTTAAAATATGAAGTGCTATTTTGGGGGTCCACTAGTCATTCTTGTATTCATTCAACTTGTCTAATATTATTGAGCCACTTACAATGTACCAGACACGGGGTTGGGTGCTGATATAAAGTGTAGAATAAAGCAGACCTAGTTCCTGACTTCATGGAGCTTGTATTCCATAGCAGGAGACATATGATAAACATACACACAAATAAGTATATCATTATAGTCCCCTTCCCCAGGTACGGATGTGGTACTTTTAAATGGGTTTATTACTATAACCTACTATAAACAGATGCATTTTGAAGGTAATATCCATGAACTGTTCTCAGAAAATGATTTTGTCGGTTTAAATAAAGAGTTAAGATTATTAGTGTAGAATTAAAAGAGACTAAAAGATAAATTAAGGGATAATTTATCTCAATCCCTTCATTTCATAGATGAGGAAAACTAAAACCCAGACTACTGCAGAAATTTACCCAGTCATGTTTTGTGTGTGTGTGAGAGGGAGAGAGAGAGAGAGAGAGATCGGGGGATCTGAGGCCGGGGTTAGAACCCAGCTTTCTTTCCCCTAGTCAGTTTTTCACTCTATTGGGCTCCCCTGAAGGAATTATAAAAGCTGGCTTCTATTTTAACAGTGTATTATGATTATCACACTTGATACAATGTGTTCCAATTACAAGAAATTGGGAATGCAGCACAATCAATTTTTCCAAACTTTGCTCCAAGTAACACTTATTTTAATAGATGTTAATAGGTTATCACTTTTTAAGTTTCTTGGTCAAATTAGTTTAGGAAACCCTGCATTCTCCCTCTACCCCACTTTAGAAATCCATAAACATATATTGTGATTGTAAAAGATCATGCCTGCGGTAAGGAAAGCTCTTAAACTCTGTTTAGCTCAGCATTTCCCAAACTTTTTTGGCTACAGAATCTATTTTGAATTATTTCACAACTAAAGTGATTAATGTGCTGGGTGGGTAGTTCATCCTTAGCATCAACTTGGTTGGCTTCTTGGTAAAGTTTGTAAAAGCCCGGTAGTAAACAAACCGAGTTGGGTCACACGACTCTCAGGGCAGTTTCTCAGGTCTTAGGATCTCGGTCTGACTGTGGATGTAGGAGCAACGCCATGTCTTTTAAACCCAGGACTGGAATGGGAAACCATGGGAGCTAAATGAATGAATTAAACAACTCTCATTAAGTTTTTAATTATCACTTTCAAGCCTTTTTAAAAGTATGATTATTTTTTTGTTTTTAGGCATGCACAAGCCCAGAGTTCTCCAAAAGTGTATGATGTCTTCACAGGACATCCAAATAAGGTAGCTGGATATCTTGATTTCAAAGTACCTGTGTATTTTTATTTCAGACTCATCCAAGTCTGTGGGCATGAAGTCTGTCTGTGGCTGCTTGGTCCAGCCACCCGAACATGAAACTGTTAGTAATATTTTGAAGTCTTTGAGACAAAAGCCCAGCTTGCTAAAGAACTTGGTTCAGCAGAGAGACAGGGAGGTTCAGCGGAGAGAGAATCAAAAGCCTGGAAATTTGCTGCTGAGAATAAATGCTAGCTGCTCCCCGAGGTGATTCGTCTGTGCACTCCACTCTCTACAGATGTTAGAGCCTCTTTTTGAGCAAGGACCCGAGGTTCTTTGGTAGCACTTTGATATCCTGCTTGAATTCAATATGTGAAATGGAGGCGTCTCTCTGTGACTTGGAGCCCACAGCAGGCTTTGAAGTCTGATCCAATTTTTGCTGCCTACTATTTGATGTTGAAAGGATGAAATGAAGAAAATGTACAGTTTTTGCCAGTAACTCTGCTGAGCATATGTAAGATTAAAAAAACAAAATCCTTTGGATGATGTACTTAGAAATGTTAAGTAGATTAATACCTTCCTATAGGTTTTCTTTCTTCTTTCTTAGGGATAAACATTCAGTATAGGAGAAAATCAGCACATAGCTGTTTTTATATTCTGGACTATAATTAATTTAAGAGGGGGACGAGGTTAACTTGTTCTGAGGAAGAAATAAATGAATGAAGCCAAGAGTGTCAAGACTTTGTTACTAATTGCCCCCAAGGAGAGGACCCCCATTCAATTTTAATGCAAGATAGGGGTAACTTACAACATGACCCAATATGCTTAGCTTCTCCATACAATCAGGGCTAGGGGTCCCTTAGTTAAATGGAAGCTATGTCCTTAAGGTTGTTTCATCAGCGGATAAAAATAATGTTTCTCTTACTGGGTTTTTCTGAAGCACTCAGTGTCTGGGACTGATTTGCTGTCTTCTCGGACATGCCATGCTGCTCCAGGTCGCCCAGGACTGAGTCCCTCGAGGGGAGCCCCTGCAACACCTGGTAAGAACATTTTGATTGCATGCTACTTCTGCCATTTGCATGCTTGTGTACTTTAGTGAGTTATTTGGGCAGTACTGTCTAGAAGGCAGGACTCAGATAGCAATATAATGTTGTGTTAACACAAATTTCAGGTTTGGGAAGCCATGAGGCTGGAAGCAGTTTTCCACCTACCCATGCCATGTAAAAATCCTGAGAAAAGAAAGATGGATGTCAGAGGCCATTCTTTTCCCTTTAGTTCTAAGAACCTTAAATTAAGAAACTGCTTAAAATGTCATTTTGTTAGAGGAAAGATAAATGACTGACCAGCTTTCAGTGGAGCAGATCATTCAGGGTCAAAATCTAGGGCTTGGTAAAGAATATAGATTTATTGAGTAAATTCTACCCTTTTGGCAACATGGCTATTCTCTCAGCAAGAATATAAACATCTTGCCATGCTCTTTTGAGAAATAACTATTTCTGGCCCACTTTCTAAATTCTTTGCTACAAACTATGATAAAAAGTCAGTTTGAGGCTTATGTGTGGCTAAAATCAGTACTTCTAGAAGGTTAAATAGACACACGATTTTCAGAAATATTTATTAACCAAAAGATACTAAGGACAATGTAGACCATTCCAAAGAAAGAAACCTTTTCAACTTAAAATGCCAACATTATACTTACTGCCAACCTTATCTATTTTTCTGAACTATGCAGTGGTTTCTCAGGTATGTCCAAATTTCTCCTTAGCCTTTCTTTCAGTGACAAAGTAGCACTATATAAAGTGGGAAATGTATAATAATTATGTTAGGACTTCTTGTCCTTATGGAGCTTAAATTTCTGGGGAGAGACAAGAGAGGGTGAGTGTATCATAACAGAACTTTTAAAATGGATATACAGAAAATGATAAATTATACAGAAAATGTCAAAGGGAATATTTTCCCCGCAGCCAGATTGTGTTCTGGAATAAGACCATCATGAGGTAGGTGTAGGAATGTTACAGAAAGAGGAACATTTAGAGAAAATACATTGTGGTGGAGCAAAATCCGTTATTTAAGAATTTAGTTGGCATCTTTCTCTGTCCAAACATCAGTCTTTATCTTTTAATTGGGGTGTTTAGACCACTTACATTTAATGTGATTATTGGTATGTTTTGGTTTAAATCTATCCTATTGCAATTTGTTTTCTGTTTGTTCCATTTTGACTGTTTTCTCTTTTGGCATTCTACTTTAAAAAACATGTATCTTTAAAATACACGTGAAAAGAAAATTTCAAGTATGTTTGAGTAGCCAAAGGCATAGATTCTGGGGTCAGACCTGACCTGCCTAGATTCAAACCTCTGCTCTCTTGTGAATGTTAATAAAGTTACATAGCAACTCCTGACCTCAGTACCTACACATGTAAAACGAAGGAAATAGTAGTTCATAGCTGAGGGGTTATACTGAGGAATAAATGAGCTGGTTTAAGTAAAGGCCGTAGCACAACGTCTATGGTATGGTAATTTTTGTTGATATTATGTAAATATAAAATTAATCTACAAGTATGAATAATAGGTAAAGAAATCAAGTACTTATTGTAAGGCATTAAGTTTTGGCGGGATAGTTCAAGGGGAGCTAATTATATTGTATTTGAGCTAAGTATTAAAAAGACCTGTTGGATTACAATTCTTTTCCCCAGTCTTTAGGAAAGTATCCCAGAAAGTCAAACTTATTAATGTTTCACATCTGACTTGCTGCAAATGGCTCACATGCACTTTCTCGTCATAGCTGTTCCTTCCTTCCAGCCCAGATGGTTTCTGCTGAGTTTGCCACCATCACCATTACTTCTCCTCATTACTCTAGTGGCCTTCCCACCATCATTCTTTTCCTCCTTCAATGTCTCTTATGCACATATGCCTGAGAGCTTTTTTAAAGCATACCCTGTTCATTACATTCCTTTCCTTCATACTCTTCAGTGGCTCCACTTTGCCCCAGCATCAATTCTAAGCTGCTTACAATTTTTTAAAATTATTTTTCAATTACCATTGTCATTCAACGTTATATCAGTTTCAGGTGTACATCATAGTGGTTAGACATTTATATAACTTAGGAAGCACTCCCCCTGATAAGTCTAGTACCCACCTGACGCCATACATAGTCATTACAATATTATTGACTATATTCTCAGGACTATGTTGTAACTGCAATTTGTACCTTACCTTTTTCACTTAGCCCCCTCCCATCTGGCAACCATCAGTTTTTTTCTCTGTATACATGAGTTTATTTCTGTTTTGTTTGGTGGGTTGGTTCATTAGATTCCACATATAAGGGAAATTGTATGGTATTTATCATTCTCTATCTGACTTATTTCACTTAGCATAATACCTTCTAGGTCCACCCATGTTGTTGCAAATGGTAAGATTTCTTTTTCTTTTTCTTTTTTTAAGTATATCTTTATTGATTTCAGAGAGAGGAATGGAGAGGGAGAGAGAGAGATAGAAACATCAATGATGAGAGAATCATTGATCAAACCCGCAACCCGGGCATGTGCCCTGACCGGGAATCGAACCCCAATCGCCTGGATCCTAGGTCGACGCTCAACTGCTGAGCCACGCCCGGCCGGGCAAGATTTCATTTTTTTTTAACGTCCAAGTAGTATTCCATTGTACGTATGTACCACATCTTCTTTATCCATTCATCTGTCATGTGGTGCTTAGGTTGCTTCCATATCTTAGCTATTGTGAATAATGCTTCAGTAAACATAGGGATGCATGTATCCTTTTGAATTAGTGTTTTGGGTTTTTTCAGATAAATACCCAGAAGTGGTATTATAGGGTCATATAATAGTTCTATTTTTAATTTTTTGAGAGACCTCTATACAGTTTTTTGGAATTTGCAATCCCACCAACAGTGTACAAGGGTTCCCTTTTCTCCATATCCTTGCCAATACTTGTTTGTTGATGTATTGATGATAGCCATTCTGATAGATGTGAGGTGATATCTCATTATGGTTTTAATTTGCACTTCCCTAATGATTAGTGAATTTTCATATGTCTATTGGCCATTTGTATGTCCTCTTTGGAGAAATGTCTATTCAGGTCCTTGGCCCATTTTTAAAAATCAGGTTGATTGGTTTTTTGGTGTTAAGAACTCTAAGCTACTTTGTAGGACATTCAAGTCTGTCTCTGTTTTGGTTCTAATCTTCCTTTCTAGCCCTGTCTTCTGATCTCTTTCCCTCATTCTGTGCTTCAGAATATCCAAATTATTCTCTGTTCTTGAAATGTGCCCAGTGTGTTCTTTTTCTACTCTGTGACTTTGTTCACGCTGCTCCCTCTGCCTAACCCATCCTTCTTCCCTGTTCTCAGAGTCCTCTCCATTATTCAGAGTCCACCATAGCTCCCTCCCCTGTGCCCTTTGACATTTCTTACAGTACTTATCACATCCTGTCTTGTTAGTTATTTTCATGCATCTACTAGGTCTGGTGGGATGTGGGATTGGAGGAGCAGGGAATAAGTCAGAAGTGAGTCAGACCAGCTCTGCTCAGGGCAGGCATGCAAAGAAGTGTTCAAATGTGGGGCTTGGACAAAGGCTGCTGTCAGCCCCCTAGTGAGAGAGTCTCAGAAGTCTCCTTAATTGGTCCATTTAAGCCCGACTCATTCCTTACATAGGGGAGAAAAGCACACTATACTCAGGAATTGCATAATTCAAATCCCTTTGCCACTAATCCAAGCAGTGAAATTATTTAGCTGGACTGACAGGCATACATACAGATCTAATCTGATTTGCTATGTAAAATTTGTTCTTTAGGCATTTATTCTTCTATTTATTTATTTATTCAAGAAACAATTAACACTTACTAAGTTCTAAGAACTGTTCTGGGCCAGTAGTTCTCAAACTGTTTTGAAAGACCAGTTTGGGGCTTGTTTTCATTTTCAATTTATGTAGTCCGACACTTTCGTGACAATAAAAATGAATGAATATGTGTGTGTTGTGTCAATATAAATTTCATCAAAACGTTTCTAAATTTCTTACTCTAAATTTCTTTGCTCATCCTGTTGGGATTAGTAACAAGAGTTGGCCTACAGACCAAGTGCCACTAGCACTGTTACAGGCATGTGTGATACACCAGGGAAAAGAGTAAAAAATTGCTGTCCTCACAATGCCATGTACTAGCAGAGGAGACAACACTAATAAGCATAGTGTGTAAGTCGGTTGTATGGGATGTTAGGAGAGCAAAGTGTTATGGGGAGAAAATACAGCAAGGAAGCTTAGGAGAGGCTGAAGTTCGGGAGACAGGGTGACGAATGGTCTACTTGGTGTCATTGAGAAGCTTGAAGGTGGTGAGCTAGTTAATCATGTGGATATCTGGGAAATGAGCATTACAGGCAGAGGGAACAGCCATGGCAAAGGCTCTGAGGAGAGAGTGCATGGAATACATGAGGAGCAGAAAGAAAGACCACAGGATTGGGGCTGAAAAAGCAAAGAAGAGAGGTGTAGGAGGTGAGGAGCCAGATGATGCAGGTCAGTGTTTCTCAATGTCCTTCTGATTCAGCAGGTCTGGGCAGCTCCTGAGATTCTGCAACACTGGCGAGCTTCCAGGTGGTGCTGATATTGTTGATCTGAGGTCTGCATTTTGAGTAATGAGGGTAAACTCAGTGGAATGGGGAGACAGTGAGCATTTTCAGCAGAGGAGTGACATGCCCTGAATTTTGTTTTAAAGTGATGGCTCCAGCTGCTGGGTTGAGTATAGACTAAAGACATCATCAATAAACGAAATATTATGTGTAAGTTGCATTTTCCAGGCAGCTGAACCTTTCTAAAATGTACAGCTCCCTTTCATACTAAGTATACCGAACACAATTCTTATTCTTAGTATCTCAGGACATGATTATTAACAACAATTAACACACTGGGTTTATAATGCAGAGAGATCCTTGGATTTGATTGGGAAATGGGACCACCTACCCTTGACTGAAATGACTCCTGACCATTATGATTTTTAGTTAATGTGCCTGATTAGCTTTACTTTCTTTTTTCTCAACATAAA